CTTATTCTGAGGAAGCCAAGAAACAAATAGACAGGTCTGTTACAAAAACATGACAGAAAGTGGTTACAATTTTTTTTTGTAAATAAAAAAGAAGTAATAAAACTTAAGTAAGTACAACATAATTATGGAAAACTACTGTCGGCATATAAAAACAAAAAAAAAAAAAACTGCAATATAAAACGTTAAACCACAAAATATGTTTATAATTGTTGTAGTGCGGAAAATTACAAAACAGAAAATTGAAAAAAAAAAATATAAGAGGAAAAATCGTAGGTTTAAATAGTGTAATATAAGTACAAGATATTTTAAAGTGTTTACAAAATCTCCCGTCATTAAACATCAAAAAAGACGGTTTAATTTATACGGATTTTTATAGTGTTTAACAAATGATTGAGAGCACTAAAGTTTTTTTTTTTTAAAGCAGATCAGCATAAATTTTCACAATTATTACCGATCGCTTTTTCTAAGAACTGAAAAAAATCGATCGCAATCGATAGACTTTTTCTATATAGCGAAAACAGGCGATCGCGACCAATAGTCTTTCTCTATATAGACAAAATAGGCTATCGCAATCGATACTCTTTCCCTATATAGAAAAAACTAGCGATCACGATTTATAGTCTTTCTCTGTATAAAGAAATCAACCGATCGCGGTCGATAGTTTTTCTCTGTATAGAGAAAACAAGCGATCGGTAGTCTTATCTATATAGAGAATACCAGTGATCGCGATCGATAGTATTTCTCTATATTTAGGGAAAACAAGCGATCGTGATAGATAGTCTTTCTCTACATATAGGGAAAGCAAGCGATCGCAATCTATAGACTTTCTCAATACAGAGAAATCAAGCGATCTCAACCGATAGACTTTTTCTATATAGCGATAGCGATAGTCTTTCTCTATAACCTAACACAACCTAACCTAACCTTGAGAAAACAAGCGATCGATAGTCTTTATCTATATAAAGAAAACCCGTGATTGCGATCGATAGTCTTTTTCTATATATAAGGAAAACAAGCGATCGCGATCGATAGCCTTTCTCTATATAGATAAAACAAGCGATCACGATTTATAGTCTTTCTCTGTATAAAGAAATCAACCGATAGCGGTCGATAGTTTTTCTCTGTATGGAAAAAACAAGCGATCGGTAGTCTTTACCAGTGATCGCGATCGATAGTCTTTCTCTATATATTAAGGAAAACAAGCGATCACGATTTATAGTCTTTCTATGCAAAAAGAAATCAACTGATCGCGGTCGATAGTTTTTCTCTGTATAGAGAAAACAAGCGAAGTCTATATAGAGAATACCAGTGATCGCGATCGATAGTCTTTCTCTACATATGGGGAAAACAAGCGTTCGCAATCTATAGACTCTCTCTATACAGAGAAAACAAGCGATCTCAATCGATAGACTTTCTCTATATAGCGAAAACAGGCGATCGCGATCGATAGTCTTTCTCTATAAAGAGAAAACAAGCGATCGCGATCGAAAGTGTTTCTTTATAAACAGAAACGAGCGATTGCGAACGATAGTCTTTCTTTATAAAGGGAAAACAAGCGATCACTATCGATAGTCTTTTTCTGTATAAAGAAAACAAACGAGTCTATCCCAAATCTTTTGCCTTTAATAAAATCACACCCACTATAAAACCATTTAACACTCTGTTGATTTGAGTTTTTGTCTGGTGTTATATATTTTACGGTATGAGTGCGTTTAAAAGTGTTCGTTAGCCAATTATAAATACATTAAGTAGAGTGTGGCTTAAAAACAGTAAGAAATAAACAAGAAACAACAACAAAACAGTACAATAAATACGATTTTGTAAGCGCAATAAATATAAAACTGATTGTCATTTATATTTATACGAATTATTAAAAGTTCAAGAAACTGTTGAAGATTTTCGAAATGGATAAATTTAAAAAAACAATTTATAGCACAATAAAAAAAGACTTCTTAAAGGAAAACAAAGAAAAAAAAAACACTGCAATTTTTAAATATAAACTAAAGAAAGTTAATAATGTTTAAAATAACATTTAACATTCAATAAAACTCTGCTATAGTAATTGTTATTCCAAACACATCAATTGCAATTAATAATTTATGGTCTTCTAATAAATAAAAATATGTTTATAGAATATTTAATAATTTGCCATGAAAAATATGGAGTAAAATTGTTTATTCTTGAGAAATTTTTGTATAAATTAAAAGAAAGTGAAATTTTAGTTTATAAGGCAAAAAAACAATTTATTTATTTGTTTTTAAATAAAAAGTTTTATAAAAGTTCGCTTTAAGAGGAAAGCCTAATATGATAATTTTATTTAATGCCTACAAGTATGCTTTAGATTTTGCTTGCAAACAATTACAAATATTATGAGTTTTGTAGCAGAAAATACAATGATTGTTGACAAAGATTCATCTGTTTGGTTTGAAGAAACATTTTTTGAGTTATTTTATATGTTTAACAACGGTTTTTTTGTTTTCATTAGAGTTGCCAAGTTTGAGGGAGTTTAAAAAAATATAACGTACATTTTTAAGTATCTATAATATTTTTGTACTGATAATCAATTTTTATTCTACTAAAACATAACATTTCTATAATAAAATAAATATTAATTTAAATTTTTGTAAAAAGTAGAGATATTTTTGAAAATTTTCTATAGAAACAGATTTTTTTAAAGTTGTTCTCTAAATAGAAAAAATTTTTTCAATTTTCTCTTAAAGTGAAATAAGAAATTTTTTTTGTAAATTTGTTTTCTCTATAAATAGGCTATCGCGATCGCTTGCCTTTCTCTATATATAGAAAACAAGCGATCGCGATCGCTATCCTTTCTCTATATAGAGAAAACAAGAGATCACGATCAATAGCCTTTCTCTATACAGAGATAACAAGCGATCGCGATCGATAGCCTTTCTCTATATGCAGAAAAGAAGCGATCGCGATGGATAGCCTTGCTCTATATAGAGAAAACAAGCGATCGCGATCGATAGCCTTACTCTATATAGAGAAAACAAGCGATCGCAATCGATAGTCTTTCTCTATATACAGAATAGAAGCGATCGCGATCGATAGCCCTGCTCTATATAGAGAAAACACGCGATTGTGATCTATAGCCTTTCTCTATATAGAGAAAACAAGCGATCGCGATCGATAGCCTTTCTCTATATAGAGAAAAGAAGCGATCGCGATCGATAGCTCTTCTCTATATAGAGAAAAGAAGCGATCGCGATCGATAGCCTTGCTCTATATAGAGAAAACAAGCGATCGCGATCGATAGCCTTTCTCTATATAGAGAAAACAAGCGATCGCGATCGATAGCCTTTCTCTATATAGAAAAAACAAGGGAGCACGATCGATAGCCTTTCCCTATACAGAGAAAACAAGCGATCGCGATCTATAGCCTTTCTCTATATAGAGAAAACAAGCGATCGCGATCGATAGCCTTTTTCTATTTAGAGAAAACAAGCGATCGCAACCTATAGGCTTTTTCTATATAGAGAAAACATGCGATCGTGATATGTCGATCGATCGCGATGGCGATCGAGTCTTTCTCTTTATAAAAATCGCGATCGATTTTCTTTTTCTTTATAGAAAAACAAGCGGTTACTATCGGCAATCTTTCTCTTTATAGGGAGAACAAACGATCGATAGTCTTTCTCTTTATAGAGAAATCAAGCGATCGTGATCGATACTCTTTTAAAAGTCTTTGCGATCACGATAGATACTCTTTAAAAATAGATTAAACTATAACGATCGATAGTCTTTCTCTATATACGAAAAATAAGCAATCGCGATTGACAGTATAACGATCGTGATAGATAGATAGGTCGATCGATCGCGATGGCGATCGATAGTCTTTCTTTACACAGAGAATCCAAGCGATCGCGATCGATACTCCTTTAAAAGTCTTTCTCTATTTATAGAAAACAAGCGATCACAATAGATACTCCTTTAAAATAGAGAAAACGAGCGATAACGATCGATAGTCTTTCTCTATATACGAAAAACAACCGATCATGATTAACAGTCTTACTCTAAATAGAGAAAACAAATGATAGCGATCGAAAGTCTTTCTATTTTTCTATACAGAGAAAACAAGCGATCACGATCGATGGTCTTTATGTGATCCGTATCAAATGCTGGATCAAACGATGGATTTCTTGTATTCTCTATGTAGAAAAAATCTAGAGAATACAAGAAATCGCGATCGATTAACTTTCTCTATATAAAGAAAATAAACGAATACTTTCTTTATATAGAAAACAAAACCGATCGCTAGTGATCGATGTCTTTACAAATAAAACAATCAATATTTTTCATAAAAAGAAACACTTTCGAAAAATTTTATGAAAAAAGATTTGTTTAATTTCCGGGAGGTTTTTCAAAAAACTTAAATTTATAAAATTTTCTACCTCAAGGTTTACCAAACTTAATTTAATTATCAAGGAAATCTTTTATACTTTTACAACATGTTTCAAATTATCAAAACAGAAAAATGTTAATAGCAATAATAAAAGGTATGACTCAAGTTACGACACGCGTGAGGAAAACCTACAATTTTTCACACTTTTGCACAATTATGGAAAAACAACTTACACTCAAATACAATTTTATTATATTTGTATAAAACACACAATAAAAAAAAACTAAATTACATAATTTACAGAGAAAGAAGAGAAGGAGGCTTAAAGTGAAAACCGGCAGAGGGAGGAGGAGGAGGAGAAGAGGGGAATTGAAAAATATAAATAATTAAAGGTGCAAAAAAACAAAACTCAATGAAAACCTCACCACAAAGTGTGTGTGCAACAAACGTAACTAAACCAACAACAACAATGACAATTGAATAATATTTAAAAGAAAAAATAATAAAAACAAATAAATATTGTTGTAGCAAGTGCGTAATTAAATGTAATCGGAGATATTTAAGGAAAACGAAAGTAAATACTCAGACAATAATGACAATAACAATTAAAGTGGGTTTTTTGTTTGTGGTAAATTTTAAAAATTTGTTTAAAATATTATAAATAAATTCTCATTTTGTACTTACATTAACAAAATTTTCACGTTTTATATCATCAATATCGGGCTTGGAAATACGACGTTTCCAATCATCTTCACCACTTTTTTGTAAAGCTGCCAAACGATCGGCTATAGAGCCGGTTTTAGAAATGGAACGTTGATCGGGACCCATGACCTTGATAACAAATTATTCAACATTAATTTAAAACTTTTTTTAAAAAATATTTAAAATAAACCTACTTGCGTTTGACTGCGTCTAAGGCCGCCTTGTAAAAATGCTGGCAAAGCTGTGGGTTGTCTTGTTATTTCTTCTTGCTCTAATTTGTTATTATCTATTATGTTTTGTTTTTGTTGTGTTTCCAATAGATTTGTTGTTGCTGTTGCTGAGGCTGTTGTTGTTTCTGGTTGATCGTCTTTTTGTTGTTTATCTGATGTCGTACCTACATGACGCAATTTTATAAAACCACCCGATAATGGAGGTAATTGTGGTCCAATACCAATTGCTACACCACCAGGTGGAGGAGGAACAACAATAGATGAATGACTTTTACTTTTGGCTATGAGATTTCTGTAATGATAAGAAGGAAGAGAGAGAGAGAGAGTAAGAATCAGTTAAGAATAATTTTTAGTTAAGCAGTTTAAACGGTAATTGTAATTTTCATGGGAAAATAAGTTTAATTTTAAAGTGATTTATTATATATGTGAGTGAATGCTACTTAAATTTTTGGGCAATTTTGTTCAGAGCCTTACTTGTAACGAGAGTCCAGATTATAGACCAGACTTTATTCCAACTATAGACTCAAGTTTTGTAAAAATTATAGATTAGACTTCAATTCAGATTATTATTAGTCCTGACTATAGATTAAACAATGAACTAGATTATAGACCTGACTATGGACTAGACTATAGTCTAGACCAAGGATTAGACTACAAAATCCACTGTGGTCTACATTATAAAATAGGTAATAGTCCAGCCTATATAATGGACTCTAATCCTAACTATGGACAAGATTATAATTCATTCAATAGACTAGAATAGACTATAGTTCATACTATAGACTAGACTATAGTACATATTATAGACTAGACTATAGTCCATACTATAGACTAGACTATAGTCCATACTATAGACTAGACTATAGTCTATACCATAGACTAGACTACAGTCCCGTATATAAACTATACCATAGGTTATAATATAGGCTAGACTATGGTCGAGAATGTATTCCAGAATCTAAACTAAGGAATAGACTATAGTCCAGACTACAGATTAGACTATATACTTGACTATAGATTAGACTATAGGCCAGACTTCTTATATATATTCTAAACTATAGTAAAGACTAGATTATAATCCAAAATATAAACTAGACTACAGTCCAGACTATAGACTATCACCCAGACTATAGTTCAGAATATAGTTTACACTACAGAAGAGACTTTTTTGAGGACTATACACCTGACTAGAGTAAGGACTACAAACTGGACTATAATTCAGATTATACACAGATTATAATTTACTCTATATACTAGACTACAATAGGCTATATTCCAGACTAATGGCTAGACTATATACCATATAGTCCAGAGAGTACTTCTATTAAATTTGATAGAGTACCCACAAGTCTTATATTATCTCATTTACAATAAAAAGTAATAAAAGAAAAACGAAAACCAACTCTTCTATGCAACACCTTCATTGTCGGTTTGTTGTCTTTTGGCCTATCGGTCTGGCCTATTGTGCTAATGTAGCCGTACATCATCACGAGATTCATTTCATTACATTCAATTGCATTTCATTCATGTATTTATTTTTCGTTTAATCATATTTTTTTATGTTTAAATACAAAAAATCGTGACCGAGCACTTCACAATTTAATGAGATTTTTCTTTTTTACATTTCTCTTGGGGTTTTTTTATTCACACTTTTCCTTGTGTGTAATGGCAAAGAAAATGAAAATTAAAGAAAAGTGTTAAGTGTTAGAAGAATGGTTAGAAATTTTTCAAAAACAAAATGTTATTTTTTTTTTAAAGATGAAGATCAAATTTTTACTAAAATGAAAGATGAGCTTAAGAAGAGTTTAAGAAATTATTCGAAAATTCTTTATAAAAGAGAAAATTTTCAAACTTTATTACATGAAATAGAAATTTTAAGAAAATTTACTATAAAAAGAGAAATTTTCCGAAAATTTTTTATAAAATGACAAATTTTTCAAAAATTTTGAATCAAAAAAGAAAATTTTGGAAAACTGACTATAAAAAGAGAAATTTCCCTCACTTTTTCTATAAAAAGAGACATTTTCAATAGAAAGAGAAAATTTTCGAAAATTTTTTATAAAAAAAAAGAAATTTTTTGAAATTTGTTTATAAAAAAAAGAGATTTTTTTCCAAAAATTTTCCGAATTTTTTCTATTAAAAGAGAAATTTCTGAAAATTTTCTATTAAAATAGAAATTTCCGAAAATTTTCTTTTCAAAGAGAAATTTCCGAAAATTTTCTTTTAAAAGAAAAATTTCCGAAAATTTTCTATTAAAAGACAAATTTTCAATTATAAGAGAAATTTCCGAAAATTTTCTATTTAAAGAGAAATTTCCGAAAATTTTCTTTTAAAAGAGAAATTTCGAAAAATTTTCTATTTAAAGAGAAATTTCCGAAAATTTTTTATTAAAAGAGAATATTCTGAAAAATTGTCTATTTAAAGAGAAATTTCTGAAAATTTCCTAAAATTTTCTATTTTCAGAGAAATTTCTAAAAATTTTCTATGAAAAAAAAATTTCAAAAGTTTTCTATTTAAAGAGAAATTTCGGAAAATTTTCTATATAAAGAGAAAATTTTCTATTTAAAGAGAAATTTCTGAAAATTTTCAATTGAAGAGAAAATTGTTTATTTAAAGAAAAATTTCCGAAAATAGACATTTCTGAAAATTTTCTATTAAAAGAGAAATTTTCGAAAATTTACTATAAAAAGAGAAATTTCTGAAAATTTACTATAAAAAGAGAAATTTCCGAAAATTTGCTATAAAAAGAGAAATTTCCGAAAATTTGCTATAAAAAGAGAAATTTCCGAAAATTTAATATAAAAAGAGAAATTTCCGAAAATTTACTATTAAAAGAGAAATTTCCAAAAATTTACTATAAAAAGAGAAATTTCCGAAAATTTGCTATAAAAAGAGAAATTTCCGAAAATTTACTATAAAAAGAGAAATTTCCGAAAATTTACTATAAAAAGAGAAATTTCCGAAAATTTACTATAAAAAGAGAAATTTCCGAAAATTTACTATAAAAAGAGAAATTTCCGAAAATTTACTATAAAAAGAGAAATTTCCGAAAATTTACTATAAAAAGAGAAATTTCCGAAAATTTACTATAAAAAGAGAAATTTCCGAAAATTTACTATAAAAAGAGAAATTTCCGAAAATTTACTATAAAAAGAGAAATTTCCGAAAATTTACTATAAAAAGAGTAATTTCCGAAAATTTTCTATTAAAAGAGAAATTTCCGAAATTTTTTTATTAAGAGAGCAATTTCCGAAAAATTTCTATTAAAAGAGTAATTTCCGAAAATTTTCTATTAAAAGAGAAATTTTCGACAATTTTCTATTAAAAAAGAAATTTCCGAATGTTTATTATTAAAAGAGCAATTTCTGAAAATTTTTTATTAAAAGAGAAATTATCGAAAATTTTCTTATAAAAGAAATTTCAAAAAAAAATTCTATTAAAAGAGAAAATTCCAAAAATGTTCTACTAAAGAGAAATTTTCGACAATTTTCTATAAGAAAGAAATTACCGAAATTTTTCTATTAAAACGAAATTTTCAAAAATTTTCTATTAAAACGAAATTTTCAAAAATGTTCTATTAAAAGAGAAATTTCCGAAAATTTTCTATTAAAAGAGAAATTTCCGAAAGTGTATTATTAAAAGAGCAAATTCCGATAATGTTTTAATAAAAGAGAAATTATCGAAAATTTTGTATTAAAAGAGAAATTTCCGAAAATTTTCTATTAAAATAGAAATTTCTGAGAATTTTTATTAAATAGAAATCTCCGAGAATTTTCTATTAAAACAGAAATTTCCAAAAAAAAATTTATGAAAATAGTAATTTCCAAAAATTTCCTATTAAAACAGATAATTCCGAAAACCGTTATCTTTTCAGCTCTACAACCGTTACCGCCAAAATACTGTTACCGAAATAAACCTAAATAGCGTCACCGTTATCATTTCACCATTTCGGAAACGGTTGCCAATCATTATAAAAAGTGGAAAATTAAGAATATTTAAAGAAGAATTTTAAAAATTTTCTTTAAACAAAAAAAAATTAGTTTAAATTTTATTTTTTTGTAAAAAGAATATCTCATCAAAATGAGAATTTTTTTTTAAACTTTTAAGGCTTAATGTCTGAAGCTTTGGTTATTGTTTAACCTTTAGATATACTGCCGGTTAAAATAATTTTTGTATGAAAAATTTTCAACATATTAAGAAAGCGGGAAAGGTGGTAAATGTCTTTATGAATTACTGCTATTCCTGGCACATAGCTCCAGGAATCATCTTTCGGAAAAAATTGTGTTATTTCCAAGTAAGAATAAAACTCACCTAATTACTCTTTGTTGTGATGTTGTTGTTTAGTCAGAAATTCCTTTTCGAATTTTTACGATTTATTACAATTTCATTGATATTTTTTTTTTTTCTGTTATATTAGGAAAAGTTTAATTTAATAAAACTTTATCAACCTTATTTAAAAATTTATTAAAAATATCCAATTTGAAGGTTTCGAATCTAACACTTATTGTAGAACTTTTACTGTTTTGCAATTGAATAGATATTATTTTGATTTATTTTATTACACTTGGTGTAAAATCACATTTAACTGTTATCTTTATGCCAAGGATGTTGTAATTCACTTTATTAATTTAATTATAAATATGTTATTTTAATATTTATTTAACACTTGAAAGACCAACACAACCGTTCTTAATGAAAAACGCGAACAAACTAAATATTGAAAAAATTTAAGAAAAAAAGTCCAACTCAAACTACTTAATAATGGCACCTGTAGTATATATTTGTTTCCAAAACTATTGAGAATTTAAAGTTAAAAACCATAAAAACAAAAACACGACAGGCAAAGAAAATACGCGAAAATAACAACAAAAAATATCCTGTAAATCATAAGTAAAGTACTTTTAACACATATTCAGAATTCGATACCTACAAGAAGCAGGCTGCCTCAGCCCACCTTTTTTTGTTATTAATAAGTAAAAACAAAAATTATTAGTAGAAAACACCTTAGTAGATATTTGTATGTACTTGGGAGTGTGTAAGTGTGTGTGTATGTAGGTAATCTGAAAACATATATTGTTTAACTATTTATGACACATGTTTAAATTTAACTGCCACTAACTAAATACTTACTTGTGGCAAGCAGGCAGGTATTAATTCTATAAATCACTAAAATTTTAGTTGTTGTTGTTAATGTTCAGTTAATACTATACTGGCACTAATATTAACAACTATTTTGGTTTTACAAAACTTAACTTTAATGATTGAAACATTTGCTAAACAAAATTCATTAAA